AATAACTAAGTGGGGAGGTGTGTGTTATGGTGTGTGTGTTATGGTGTGTGTGTGTGTTATGGTGTGTGTGTGTTATGGTGTGTGTGTTAGTAATGATGTGTGTATGTATAACGATTCCGAAGGTATAAGTTAAAGAGGCTGGAGTGAGGAATGACTGAACTACCCAATTCACCTATCCACATACATATATTATTACCCTTTGAACTACACGCCAGGACAGTGTAACACCTTCCTGAGTGATGAATGTGTGTGGCTACGTAACGAGTTCCTTATGTAACACTTGGTTGTGTATGGCTGTCACGCTCCGTAAGTAACTGCGTCGAGGTAATGAATAAATAAATACCAACAATGATTATGATGTTAGGATGAAGTTATGCAATGAAAAATAATAAGAAATAATAACAATAATTATGGTTGATAATAATAATAATAATAATAAAATAACTAATAATAATAAGACAGGATCAAACAATAATAACGGTTAATATATTTGTGTTATCGTCAAGTGAGTTTTTTTTTTGTCTGAGTCACTCCCGAACACGAGAACTAAACTACTATATTAAATCATTTCGCTTTGAAGTAATGGTGCACAGGTGTGGTGAAACCGTCATCCCTCCCTCTCTCCCCTCTCTCCCTCCCTTCCCATCCCTCCCTCCCGTCATCCCTCCCTCTCTCCCTCTCTCCCTCTTCCTGTCATCCCTCCCTCTCTCCCCTCCTCCCTCCCACCCTTCCCGTCATCCCTCCCTCTCCCCTCTCTCCCTCCCACCCTTCTCTTCATCCCTCCCTCTCTCCCCCCCGCCCGCGGCCACACAGACACCCTCAGTCGTTTCGTGGCCCCCTCAGTGAATACAGTGAAATACTACAGTATATATATTTTTTTATGAAGAAATATACTGTCGACTGGTACTTATATTACGAACATTTGTGTGTATGTGTGTTTATATACTACAAATGATTTCCGCAAATACGTGTCAGTTGTTGCAAAAAATTAACACTGTAAAATATATCTGAATTTATTTATTAACACATAAACACACAGGCAAGCAAGTTCCACGGCATTAGTAAATAGATTCTCAAGATTTGTTCGTCATATTGTCGTTAACTGGACATTACCGAATACCGATTCACTCAAACTACGACACAAAGATGGCTGCGTGACCAGGTCTGCCGTAGTTACCCTAATTACAATTTACTCCGGATAATCGTCCCCCCCCCCCTTATTTCTCAATGATGTGACCTTAACCTTTTATCTTTCGACCTTAAAAACGTGAGGTAATTATAGTAAATATATCTATTGAGTATAACAGGCACTGCTTTATGGTTTCTCTTCCTGCCTCACTTTGCTCAATTGTTGTTATGTCATGTACAGTATTACTACGCTTCCAAAAACTAACCGGGACGGTATTTTTTTGAAGCATGTTGTCTCAATAATGAAATACACTAGTCATCCACGATAAACAATTTAGGAAAGACAATTTTTTGGGTTTGTTTACACATTGTATATAAAGTTAAATAAATAAAGCAAGGGATGAACTGACGATTCTCCGCCTCCCTAGCTTATTTCACCTAAAGATTAAGCATCCCAGTCTACCCTATCCTTTCCTATCCTCAATCCCCCAAATAGTGTTAGAGCGTGTGTGTGTGTGTGTGTATTATAGTTCGTGTGTGTCATAATTTGTGTGTGTAATGGTGTGTGTGTGTGAAGTTGCGTGTGAAATAAGAAAGGAATGGACTGGACTTTGAGTTTTACCTCCTGAAGTGTGTTGGACGTGGTGTTGTATAACATTACCCTGCTTCAAGCTGTTACTGAGGCCAACCCTCTTCTACTGTCTTGCCAGGGTTTTCGTGGCGTGTGCAAAAGGGCTCTCGGCAGCGTCTGTTTATTTGGTATCTCAAAAGTCCATAAATATTTTCATCCCTTTGACAATTGTGTTTAACCATTTGACGATTGTGTTTTAACCCTTTGACACCCATGATTTAACCCTTCAAAAATAATTTAACCCTTTGAAGACGCTGATTTAACCCTTTGACTACTATGATTTAACCTTTTGACACCCATGATTTAACCCTTCAAAAATAATTTAACCCTTTGAAGACGCTGATTTAACCCTTTGACACCTATGATTTAACTCTTTGTAGACGATGATTTAACTAGATGCGTGCAGTCACCAGCTTAACGTTAGTATCGTGAAGATGTACAAAACGCTCGCTCAGTCATCCAGTGTTGCAGAGGAGACGCAGATGTTGTGATGGTATGGTGTTGCATAGTGAAGTTTGATGGGAAGGTCGCTCCTCTCTCTCTCTCTCTCGCTCTCACACACACACGAAGCCAAAATGAACAGAATTCACCAACTACATTTAAAATTTATTAATGAAATCTAGTTGTGACGTCATGGGTCAATGTTCGTAGGTTCTCTTCCCTTTCGGGGTGACAGGCTGGGGAGAGGGTGGGGGTTGGGGGAGTGGCAGGGGTTAGGGGAGGCAGGGATGGGGGTGGGAGGGGGATGTCTGGTTAGGTTATGACGTAGCGGAATATGAAATAAGGCCCTTAAAACACCCATGTATGGTATAGGGTAGGATGTTTAGTGGCTGTACCGACAGACAATAAATAACCCAGTGCTGGAACGCTGGAAAGTTTCAAAAGGAGGCTGGATAGATTCATGGATGATAGAGAGTGGTAGTAACTCTCGACAGGAGCTGCCATGCACAGGCCAACCGGCCTATTGCAGACTCCTTATTTTCTTATGTTCTACTTATGTTCTTCAACCCTAACACACTATTAGCTTAGCTAGGCGGTCAGCTCGCCCTCTCTTACCTCCTCCTAAACTTCTTCAATTTCCGAACTATAACTTCCTTCCCCCACCTCTAATCTTCTTTCACCCTCCTTTCTCTACAAACAAAAAAGTTAGATAGGTGAAATATTAAAAGTATTTATTTTAGTTAATGAGGTGAATTGTTAAAATGTTATTATTATTATTTTTTATTGTTATTATATTGTTGTTGTGCTCTTATTATTGTTATTATTATTATTATTATTATTATTAGTAGTAGTAGTAGTAGTAGTAGTAGTAGTAGTAATAGTGGTATTAGTAGTAGTAGTAGTAGTAGTAGTAATAGTGGTATTAGTAGTAGAAGTAACGGTAATGGAAGCAATAACAGGTTTCTTTTAAATTAGGCTTAACTGGGGTTAGCTTAACTATGACTAGATTAGATTAAATTTGGTTTGGTTAGGCTTAATGGACTGGGCTGAGACAGTGGGACTAGGTCGGCGACGAAGGAGGAATCGACCTGCTTTGTCTGACGTTCACGAGATGTTGTGCTACAGTGTCCATCTCTCTATCGATATAATACCTTCATCCTGGACCACCCCACATTATGTAACATCTCCTCACACAAACACACACACACAGACATAGTTACAACCTCAAGTTACCCACATAGTTACAACCTCAAGTTACCCACATAGTTACAACCTCAAGTTACCCACATAGTTACAACCTCAAGTTACCCACATAGTTACAACCTCAAGTTACCCACATAGTTACAACCTCAAGTTACCCACATAGTTACAACCTCAAGTTACCCACATAGTTACAACCTCAAGTTACCCACATAGTTACAACCTCAAGTTACCCACATAGTTACAACCTCAAGTTACCTACATAGTTACAACCCCGGCAGCGACCCACATGGTTACAACCCCGACAGCTACCCACATGGTTACAACCCCGACAGCTACCCACATGGTTACAATCCCGACAGCTACCCACATGGTTACAATCCCGACAGCTACCCACATGGTTACAACCCCGACAGTGTTTATAATGTATTTCTAGAATTAACAACAATATTTATGGCGTAAATGGTATAGGATTTTATTTACACGGAGACTAGCCTATGGTGATTTACGTTTATTTGATACTTGATTGTGATTATGTAAAGAATATGGTGATTGTATGTATGTTATTACCATTGCGTTAGGTTACGTTACGTTGGGTTAGGTTATGTTGGGTTTGGTTATGTTGGGTTTGGTTATGTTGGGTTTGGTTATGTTGGGTTTGGTTATGTTGGGTTTGGTTATGTTGGGTTTGGTTATGTTGGGTTTGGTTATGTTGGGTTTGGTTACGTTGGGTTTGGTTATGTTGGGTTTGGTTACGTTAAGTTTGGTTATGTTGGGTTTGGTTACGTTAAGTTTGGTTATGTTGGGTTTGGTTACGTTAGGTTAGGTTATATTGGGTTATGTTGGGTTTGGTTACGTTATGTTGGGTTTGGTTATGTTGGGTTTGGTTACGTTGGGTTTGAAGTTTGGTTATGTTGGGTTTGGTTATGTTGGGTTTGGTTACGTTGTTTGGTTATGTTGGGTTTGGTTACGTGTTGGGTTTGGTTATGTTTTTGGTTATGTTGGGTTTGGTTATGTTGGGTTTGGTTATGTTGGGTTTGGTTATGTTGGGTTTGGTTATGTTGGGTTTGGTTATGTTGGGTTTGGTTATGTTGGGTTTGGTTATGTTGGGTTTGGTTACGTTGGGTTTGGTTATGTTGGGTTTGGTTACGTTAAGTTTGGTTATGTTGGGTTTGGTTACGTTAAGTTTGGTTATGTTGGGTTTGGTTACGTTAGGTTAGGTTAGATATTAGAAAGACTTGTGTCCATCATAAAGGTTCGTAATGTGATTATGGTGAAGAATTCAGTCATACCCATAAAAAAATACCCCCGTATGTGTAATGTTGTTTGAGGAGTGAGATGAATGACAAAACTAAACACTGTGTATGAGGTGTGTCGCTAAAGATGGTTGATGGAGCCTGTAGGTGTTGGGTGACCAGGTACAGCACGCAACACTCACAGCTATTCAGTGTATAAATATGATGATAAAATGCCACCCATCACAACGGTGTGTACGTGACAAAGCGAGTGGTTTGAGTGCGTGCATGTGTGTGTGTGTATGTGCGTGTGTGCTCCAGTTGTAGAGGGAGATGGTGGTGGAGGAGGCGCCTCATACCATCTCGGGACTCCCTCTTGGTCACATCTCACAGCCATTCTGCCGCTACTGTTGTCTGTTCCAATCCTCCCCCTACTCCTTTGTTTACTGTAACGAGATCAAAGTGTATATCATTTATACATACATACATACATACATACATACATACATACATACATACATTCATACATACGCTATAATTACCCTGGGTTTGTGATCAGGTACTACGTGCACAAAAACAGTATTTATTTGTATGCCGCGTCCCCCGATGTTGGCAAGGCTATATGTCCGCCGCTGTGAATCTTAAATCAAAATAATATCACCAAACGAAAGTCTAAGAAGGCATAGCTCTTCGATGAACAGACAGACAGACGCGCGCCGGCTACCCAAGAGTAAAGCTGCTTCTCCCTCGCTCCAGCCCTCGTATAAAAGAAACTAGGCTTACTACCATACCAACACGGGTGAGTCATTTACTTCCTTTACAACACTGTCGTTCTTCACTACCATAACACTGTGACGATTTTTTTTTTTCATTTTTTAAGTTTTTTAGTTATTTATTTTATTTTTTATTAAGTGACAGTCGAAGTGAGTTGTGTTATTAGTTAGTCTTTAAGGTGTGGGTGAAGACTCGATTGTAGGTACTAACACCGCACGTAGCAACAAGGCTAGGCTCCTCATTTACACACATTTATCATATGCTACGACAACCGTTATGTTTTAGGTTTTATAAGGATTATCTTTTGTTAATATTTTGTTAATTATGAAGACCAGTAACGTGGGTCGTCTTTGATTTTTTTTTTTTTTAATTATGAAGATCTAACCCGGCTCACTAGTTGGCGTCTTTCGTACAAATTTTCTTGACCGGGATAATGTTGGATCAGGTCGTGGAGTTGAATGACATTGTTGACTTAATACAGGGACTAGCCAGGGGGGTCTCTCAGCTGGGTAAAGACATCATAAGGTACCTAAATGAAACATTATTAATAGATTAAACTTGAGATTTTGTAAGAATCATTTATGGTGAAAATTTTACAAACCACTTTTTTTGGATAAGGCAAAAAGACTTATTATAACCTTGCCTAACTCAACCTAACCTGCCAAACTTATCCTAACCTGCATAACGAAACCTAACTTAACCTACCTTACCTAACCTGCATAAGAACAAAAGAACATAAGAAAATAAGGAGTCTGCAATAGGCCGGTTGGCCTGTGCATGGCAGCTCCTGTCGAGAGTTACTACCACTCTCTATCATCCATGAATCTATCCAGCTTCCTTTTGAAACTTTCCAGCGTTCCAGCACTTACTACAAAGTTGCTAAGCTTGTTCCATTCGCCCACCACCCTATTTGTGAACCAGTTCCTTCCTATCTCCCTCCTAAACCTAAACTTATCCAACTTAAATCCGTTGCTCCGAGTCCTATCCTGCTCGGATATTATAAGAACTTTATCTATATCCCCCTTCATTGATTCCTTTCACCCACTTAAATACTTCTATCATATCTCCCCGCACTCTTCGTCTTTCTAGGAAATGCAAGTTTAGTTTCTTTAACCTATCCTGATATGGAAGGTTTCTAAGTCCCGGAATCATTTTCGTCATTCTTCGCTGCACTGACTCCAGTGAATTGATATCCATTTTATAATAGGGGCACCAGAACTGAACCGCATAATCGAGGTGCGGCCTGACTAGCGCAAGATATAGTTGAATAAGACCTCTGCACTCTTGTTACTTACACTCCTAGATATAAAACCCAATACTCTGTTTGCCTTATTTCGAACATTAACGCACTGTTTTCTAGGCCGTAGGTCCGGGCTTACAAGTACCCCTAAGTCTTTTTCACAAGTCGACTTCTCTAGGTTGATGTTGTTAAGGCTGTATACATTGACAGTATTTGTTCTTCCAAGATTAAGTACGCTGCACTTGCTGGTGTTGAATTTCATTTGCCATTTTTCAGACCACCCCTGCAGTTTATTTAAATCCTAACCCAACCTAACCTCCCTAACGTAACCTGCCAATCCTAACTTACCTAACCTACCTATCCTAACCTACCTGACCTAATCTAACCTAACCTGTCTTACTTCCCTAACCTAACCTAACCTAACCACTTGGTTCCCTTGGTGTTGAATGAACTTGTTACTTGTCTGTCGTCAAGCCAAATAAATTATGACAAGTGGAGCTTCTTTTTTTGTTTATACACTGTCTCATTATGTCTTCCTGGTGGTGTCTCGTGGGGCGACCGGGATAAAAAAAAATGCCACAAAAAAATATATCAGTTTTGGTTCGGTTCGGTTCGTTGATTTATTTCCTTATGTTGGGTTAAGTTAGTTGACTTTATTTGTCCATGTTGGGTTAGGTTAAGTTACTGTAGGTTGGATTACGTTAGTTGACTTTATTTGTCTATGTTGGGTTTGGTTAAGTTAGGTTGGATTAGGTTAGTTGACTTTCCCTGTTGGGTTAAGTTAGGTTAGGTTAGGTTAGTTGATTCTTTTTCCTGTGACTGTGTTCCCTAGTTTGGTTTTATGCAGCAAACGTCAGTCAGCTGTTAAACTAAAGTAAACATTGTGTGTGGTGTTTTATTATGTTTCGTTTTCTCTGTGTGAAGATGTTTTATGAAATGTTTGGCTAGACTCGACCGTGCACAGCTGTTCAACTTCGCCACCCACAGACACACATATCTCCAGCAGCGGGGGTTACGTTACCTAGTTTCTTGGTAATATGATATATTTATATATTAATTAAGATACGACCATTAAAAGATATAATGATTTTCTTTAATTTTTTCTTCCGTTTTCAAAGTTTTTTTTTTTCACTTATTTATGTTAGTTTTTAATTTATTTTATAGAGTATGTGCTACCTACACAAGATCGTCAACTACCATGTATGTACACACAGTCACCAGTTACCACGTACACATAGTCACCACCTACCACAAACACAGTCACCACGTACACACTACCTACCACGTACACACAATAATCTTCACTATATTCTACAAAGTTTCAGACAACAGCCACCACCAACACCTCTCTCTCTCTCTCTCTCTCTCTCTCTCTCTCTCTCTCTCTCTCTCTGTTTAAAATCGAAAGTTACAGAAAGTCGAGACATTTGCATAAATTATCTTAAAATTAAATCAGGTTAAATTTGGCTTAAATCAGTTAAGTCAGGTTAACCAGTTGATTAAGTAAATCTAGTTCTGGGTGTGGCTGGTAACCTAAATTAATGAGTTAAATTGAAATGTTTTACGCTTTCACTTCCCAAAATATTGATTGAAAAAAAAATGAATGGAGAAGAAAAAGCTATAGAGTGATATATAAAGTTGGTTCTTAAGCCTTGTGGGCGTCATGGTGTGGTCCTCATGGGCGTCATGGTGTGGTCCTCATGGACGTCATGGTGTGGTGGTAGAGTAACAGTAAACAGGTTAGTTAATAATCACTGTGTAACAAGTGTTGTGGTTCACCCCCTTGGAGAAAATTCCACTGAAAAATAGGCCTAACCCGGTCAGCCATTGTGTGGAGGAGACCTATAAGGCAGGTTGTCAGGTCAGCAGCTCTGGTGATTGACCGCCTCTCGTCTCACGCCTCCCAAGATTTCATCCCTTGATAAAAATTCTCCGCCAGTTTACTACACCGGCTGCCGGGTTAACATACGGTCTTAAATTATAAATCTTCTACAATAACTTACAATATTTTTTTTTTTTACTTTGTGGCAAATTCACCTGGAATATAGTGGTTACAGTTGAATGATATAAGACTCTCATATTACTTAGAGGGAAGGAATTAGACTTAATAAACTCCATACAACTCGATCTCAGATTTTACGCCAGAGAAGCAGACGCCGCCCTGGTAACACTGTCTACACTCACTCCCAGCCGTTCAGTTTTATTCCGATAGACTACATAATGAAGTCAATCGCATTATTGTAAGCGGGAAATAAAATCATAAAGTAATGGTATAGTTTGTCCTTTAGGCCCCTCTAGCTTGTGGTGATTTATCATATTAAAACGGGTTAACTACTGTAATTCGTCCTGTCCAGCACAACCACACACTAATACAACAATGAAGAGTTTTGTCTACTTTATCGTCACTTCGCCACTGACTTAACTATATAGAACCACTGACTTGACATAACCTAGTGATAGTAGGTCCACCACATGACTCCTTGCTGGGGGAACACCTCCTCTGCAAGTGTTACCCGCGATACGTGTCCTTTCTGGGTGGTGCTGGGGGGTAGTGGTGGTGCTGGGGGTGGTGGTGCTGGGGGTAGTAGTGGTGGTGCTGGGGGTAGTCGTGGTGGTGGCGCTGGGGGTAGTGATGGTGGTGGCGCTGGGGGGTAGTGGTGGCGCTGGGGGGATAGTGGTGGTTGTGGCGTTGGGGTAGTGGTGGTGTCTCTGAATTGATGCACACTCACAAGAAAGATATATATCTGTAGTGATCACGTGGGATTATTATTATTATTGTTATTTTTTTTTTGGCGGCCCCTCCCCCCCTACATCCTTGTGTAAGGTGAAGCTCAGAAGCGTTTAGATGTCGTGACTCGGTCTGCACGGGGTGAGTTACTAGGTAGAGGCATTACCAAGAGTGTAACAATGCGACCTTGAATGTGACGGCGCGCGAGGATTTTTTTTTTTCGGTGATGTTTCAATTTTTCTCTTGATGTTCTTTATAATGTGAGTGATTTTGGGGGGGGGATTTGTAATGGCAGGTTTGGTTTAGGTTAGGTTAGGATGACATCCTTAACTTACTCTTTACTGTACTGTACTACCATTGCCAAGCTAACAACAGCACTTGGTTTGGTTAGTTAGGTTAGGTTATGATGGCATACTTAACTTAATCTAGGATAGGTTAGGTTAGCATGCTTACGTTAGTCGAGTGACACTATCAAACTTTTTTATGACGTTTCCGGAGGTTATGAGCCTTATCTGGTATTTGTTAACCTTGGCCTTGTTTATATACGACTGTCACCGCCTCCTCATTGGTCTTCAAGTTTGCTGTCACATCTGAAGGTTGGCGACCACAGCCCACCACTAAACGTTCTCTAGGGACCCAGTTTTTAATTTCATTCATCCATCCCAGTCTCTGCCTCCTACCCTCATCTTTACCCATTAATATCTCTGTTATTATCCCCTCATCCTTAATGACCAAAGTATCTCATTTGATATATAATATTTGGTATTATTGTCGTTTCGGTCATCCAGTGAATTTTAGAATTTTAAGTTTAGTTTAGGTTGGGTTAGGTTAGGTTAGGTTAGGTTAGGTTAGATTAGGTTAGATTGAAATTATGTTTTTCCTATGCTTTTTTGGTGTTTTGAACAACTTCCAAATACGTGGATGACCGAAACGATAATTTTACCGACTATTTTAACACTTAAGTCTGTTCTTGCATCAGCCCCTTCCGTATGTACTGTAGACTACCCCCTCAGGCCCGGCCGTCATTCTTTGCATGTAGGAGCATCTCTTAGTACCTGATGTGCATGATGACTTGTCCAGTTTGAGTAATATCATCTCTTGTGTGGGGTGTTTGTATCCCTTCTCGAAAACAACCCTAGTAAGGTCATAAGAATATTGACCTGGGTTCCAATTGCTTGAGTTTTGTTTACGTAGCCTATCCAATTGTTTTCAGGATTTCATTTTTTTTTAGGTTGCAGGTGGGTGTGGTAAGCAGGTGTATTGAATATCATCAGTGCGCAACAAGGAGAAGTGTATAAGTGTTTTTTCTGGTACACATCGTCAATCGTGATGTTTCATAATTTATCAGTGTGCGTGTTTATCGTGTTGGTTGACGGTTGGTGCCGCTATTACTTCACTTCACGAATTTTTCCATCGACCACACTTTGACATCTCTCTCTCTCTCTCTCTCTCTCTCTCTCTCTCTACCTTAACTTCCTCGTCATATTATATTCCTAATGCGATATTTGGTTAATTTAGGTTAGGTTAGGTTGTAGTCAGTATAAGGCAGGTATGTGTTCAGTATATCGTCAATATGTGGCAGTATCTGGTAAGTACAGTATGTGGTTAGTATGAGGAAGTATGTGGAGAGGAAGCGGAAGTACACACAGTATATGGTTCAATCGTGGTGTCAACCTTTCACCAAGGTCAACATTGCCATTAAAGGCGTTATATAAAGTGGATTACCTTCACTATATATAACTAGACAACACCTCACCTTGACTCCTAACCAATACACCTGAGTGAAGTGGGGGGGTCCACGTAGTAACTCTCCTTGTGATCACAGAAACACCTTTTAAATTTGTGGATTAAATTTTTTTCCTACCTAGGTTAGATAAGATAGCTCTGAATCCCTTACCTGAGCGACACCTATGGTCAAACAACATAACCTTGGTAACCTCCTTGCCCCCTTAACCCAGTGCTGGCATTATATTGTTTTTTCTCTATCAACCTTCAGCAACACTGGTCACAAACACAAATCACTTTCTTCACCCCTTCTCAGTTCCTTTCCTCTTCCTCCCTCTGGTCACCTAATAAGAAATCATGGGGATTAGTTTCACCCTCTAGTGTAATGATAATCTTCACCTAATTATGTTTGATATGTAAAGTCTTGATTTTTTTTCGGATTTAATTTTTCTCTTTGATATGAAAATAATTATAGATGATTTTTTTGTTACTGAATTAAGGAATATATTTTGTAACCAACACAAATATGTCTGAAATGTTTACACTGTCAATTCGAGGTCATGTTTCATCATGTCTACTCAAACGTTGGCGCCAAATATTATTGATCAGTCTGCGACATCAGTCTCGGTGAGGTATATAACACGTATATTGTGGGGTTTCGAAATCGGCTAGTCAGAGACAAACGGCAGTTGTAGTTGTAGGGGAAATTTCCACTACAATATCACCTTCTTTGTTTAAACATTTGTGAACGCGTTTAAAAGTTTATAGAGTGTGTAGCTGAGTTGGCCCGAGTCGGTCAATTTTATTAACTGGTTGACGAAGAGGATTTTTATTTTATTTTTTTTAACCCCTGTGCTCTCACCCACGAGGAGCGATGACTGTTCCTCTTAACTGAAGGTATAAGAATGCACCTAACAGTTTAACGCTAACTAGAACAGATAAAAATCACTTTCAAACACACCATCATAATATCCTGAGTATCTTCACTACACGCGTTCACTTGACAGACATGAAATTAAGGTCCAAATCTGAATGGATTCAGGTGAGCTATTGTCGAGTCAGCGTCCACAATCGAATCCCAATGGCGCGAAAATCCTTCCATTGTGGGTAATTTGTTCCAGCGAAATCTTTTCTCGTCGGTGTGATGTAAGAGACAACTGTAACTTAAACGTAAGCGATCCCTAGAGTTGTGTGAGAATGTAAGTAAAACCAGACACCATAGAAAACTGAAGACTAAGCGTTACTTAACGTATTATAGCATATACTAACCTAATTCTCAACGCGGAAATTTGATCAAACACTCACTCAAAATTAATATAGTCTCTGCCAAAATAAGTTGTGCATCACTCACAAAATATTCAAGTTCCGATTAAGGTTGTGTTTATGTGTGCACTCTCAGAACTCTCAGAAAATGTTAAACTAGGATTATTTATTTTACTCCACATCAGCCACATTCACCTATCTCCAGGCATCAACTCAGCCTTGGGCCTTCCTGAGGTAAAATTTGTCCCTGACAATTTTTTTTATCTTAATTTAATCGACATCACATTAGAATGTCTGCTCGAACAAAAACTAATTTATTCCCAAATCTTAACCTTAAATATAGGAGTAACAGCATGAAATGTCTCAGACCCTCCACAGCGGTGCTCACGTGTTGATCATAAAGTTTAAACCTAACTTCCCCATTATCCTTCACGCTTACTTGTTCGTGTGAGCAGGACACCCCGCGCACCAGCACGACCTTCTTATTTGGTTTTGTGGGCGTTCTTTAGTGGGTAACCTTATGACAATTCTCTGAGGGTCTTAGGAGAGTTAGTCACCTCTGTCCGGACCGCCCGAGAGGTCGTGAACGCTGGCTGAACAGTGTGTGTCCGTAAAACAACGAACCTTTGTTAGCACCAGCTACGGAACTTATAAACAGTTTTAAACAAAGAATTGGAATTACCTCAAGTTATTCATACCAGTATTACTACCAGTACTTAACTATTAAGTGTTGTGTATTATGAACTATGAGAGTGCCTGTTAAGAGAGGAGACTTCACCGGCCACCCCAACAGGGCGGGGGAGCAAGGGAGTGGGAAGGGTTATGGTGTGATACGGTGAGTTGTTTTGTTGTGTTGTAAAATACAGTATATTTGGTTGCAATTTGAGCGTAAATCTTTTATTATGCGTGAATATATATTATGTTAAGTGATAATATGATAAAATTATATTGAGAAAAAATTATTTGTTCCTTTTTAATCTCCGAAGCGAAGCCAATAGAAACGAAGTTAAAACGGTTTCTCATTTTCGTCAGATTTTGTAGCCGATGAATTTGAAGCAACTTTCTGTATGGGAAGGTTTATTTAATCTTACTAATAAAGTGGCTTAACTCTACCACAATTTTACCAATACTGATATACTGTCTGTGTAAAATACTTCCCGTGTAAAATACATCTCGTTCACTATACGGTATTAACAAGTGTGTGTGAAACTCATATAAGATGTAATGAGGGAGGATTATATTCAACCAGATTCAAAATAGGAAAAAAATATTCAGAATCATAAGCAAAGAATACCCTGTACAGAGTTAGGCAAATAGCATAGGTACAAAATTCCTATAATGAAGTTACACCATAAAATTAGCGCCATATTACACAAATAATAAAATAATTAAGGTGTCATATTGGTAGACCTATTTATTACTGATTTTCTTCTACAGTAAAAAAAAAATCAATAATATTTTTCTTGAATGTGATCCAGAAACGTCCAAAAAATCTCTATCTATCTATGTTTTATCTTTTTCTCCACAGTGAGGTGGGGTCGCGTGCCACCGTTCTGTCGACTATGGGTCACGGCGAAAGTCATGGTGACACTGGTGCGGGAGGAGGAGGAGGAGGAGGAGGAGGAGGAGGAGGGTGCGAGATGTGTGTAATGAGACCGGCACTCAACGTCACTCAGCGCGCCAACAGCTACGACTACCGCCCACCACACAGACCTCGTAATTATGCTTTAATTTATCCTTTTCGCCACTTATCGGCCTTTTACTTTTGATCTTAGCTAAAAAGACGAGATGCTGTAGTGAGTAATGTAAACTTGAACTCTTAGTGTTCAGGTTTATATTTGAATGAGTGCAGTATTTTGCAAGGGAATTGTGTTTTTTTTTTAGCTCTGCCTGGCCATCCAAGATTGTGTGGGAAAGAGCTAACGTGAGTACTGTTGATTTTTTTCACTTTTTTCTTTTAGGTTTCCTGGAAAGTGTCCAGACTAAAGTTGCAGAGTCATGTGCATGTTCGGGGAGTTGCATACTGTCCACCATCACGAATCGGTTGCCCATCCTAACCTGGCTGCCAGCTTACAGCATACGATCCTCACTCTTTGGTGACACAGTGGCTGGCTGCACGGTAGCCATTATGCACATACCCCAAGGTCAGTTCTACCACATTATATTATACATGCAGGGTATACACTATTTATAAATGTTCTGTAGTTCCCTGTAGCTTACGCACTTGGGATTTTTAAATAATGAATACCATTCTGCTCCTTTTTTTTTGTAAAATTTACAATATTGTATTAATATTTTCAAATTTTTGGGTGGTATATGCATATTAGTCCTTATAATCGTTTAAATCTTTCTAAGAAATTTTTTTACAATTTAGAAAATAAAACATTTCACTGTATATTTGTTCTTAATCATTTGATACTGTAATTTAATGTTAAAATGGTTATAATTGGCAGGGATGGCATATGCATTGTTGGGTGGACTGCCTCCCATCACAGGCATATACATGGCCTTCTTCCCTGTCCTTATGTACATAATCTTTGGTACCTCACATCACTGTTCCGTGGGTAAGTGTGTCAAACTTCCTCTCAATAAACTTTGAAGTAGTGTGAAAGTCTTTTATCTCTCTCATTACAATAGAGTTCTTAAGTCTCCGTGAGGCTTTGGTCTAGCAGTTCCATCTACTTTGTCAAAAAAAAAGATTAGAATTAAGAGTTTTTTCCATTTAAAGTATGAAAGCATTTTTTTAACTCCCCAGTAACTACTTTCCTTCTTGTGGTTCACAGGGACCTTTGCTGTTGTTTGTCTGATGACGGGAAAAGTTGTAGGAGACTTCGCTACAGACCCAACCGAAGATCCAGATGCATTGCTTGCTGGGAACTCAACTGAGGAACCAACTTACACCCCTAACCAAGTGGCAGCAATTGTGGCGCTGATGAATGGAATAATAGGGGTATGATATAACAATACTGTACTGTATCGTTGTTATAACTTTATTGCAGAAATGCTGAAATAACACATTTGTAGTACTGTACTGATTTTTTCCTATTGTTATACACACATGACTGGTGTCACACATACACAGTACCAATATAGAAGCTCCATAATGCACATTCATGATAATATTTGTGAATTGGGGAAAGGGTAAATTAAACTGTAAATGGTGAAGCTGGTCGTCATTCTTAGTTTTGTACAGTAACAGCATTCTTCCAAAACCCAGCCCGCTTAAGACATGCTCGATAGTCCTCAACGTCTTTCTCAAGTGAATGTATTTTGTACAGATAGTTTTTTTTCGGTAACTCATCGTGAATATTAAGGTCACTACATGTGACTTATAAACTTCAAAGAATTATTAAATGAAAAAAAAATCTAAACTTTCTCATGAAAATTTCACATGCACATTCTTGAGCAAATTTCCCTGCAAAATTAACTTTAGAAATATTCTCCTGTATTTGTTTTGTTTTTGTTTTTAAAGAAAATGAAGGTTGGATGTTAAGCAGCAATGATATTAAATGACTGAGTTAGCCAGTCAGGATTAATATTCATGATATTCATAAAGCTTCTCAACACAGCTAAAATAAACTTATGGTTCACAGACTTTTACTCTTGTATAACGGTATAATTTTTACAGCTGGTGCTTGGTGCGCTGCAGCTGGGAACCCTCTGTGTGTTTCTCTCGGATATGTTGGTGTCGGGATTCACCACAGGAGCAGCAGTTCATGTTCTGACTTCACAAATAAAATATCTCTTCGGTTTAAAAGTACCAAGATACAGTGGCCCATTTAAAATCATATATGTAAGTTTATACATTACATGTATTGTTTATGTCTGATGAGGGTTTATTTATTTATTTTTTACATTCAAATTTGGCCACTCATAATATGAATAATGTCTTCTGATGTGCTTGTAAACTTCTATTAATTTATCTGTTGTCCATCTATAGTACAGTATAAGCTAGGCAACTGCAGGTGTTCATATCTTATTTGAGGTGCTGAAGTGCTAGATATTCTCAATCAACTTGCAGCTTACCATATTACGGTACAAAAAAAATCAATATGCTTTTTATTAATATTTTTTTCAACTTACAATTGTTGCAGTATATACCAGCGATATATGGGGGGGGGGTGAAAGTAGTTTGATAATTACTGGAATGAATACAGTACTGTACTGTTTATCATGTTCACCTGTAATATTGAATACAGTAAAGAATTTATATTTATTATTTTTTGTGTTTTGTAATTGCTTTCATGTTTCTTTACAGACATATAGGGATCTCATCAGCCAGTTGCTTGCTGCTAATCCGGCTGCCATGGTGATTTCTGGAGTAACAATAGCAGTTCTGGCTTTAAATAATGAGGTCATAAAGGTTAATATCTATCCTGTTATTTTCATTTTTTATACTGTATTCTTATCTGATATACCATATTGTATTGTACTGTCAAACCAAATACCTGTAAAATCATAGTTGAAATTGTGTGTAGTTGTATAGTTGATAATGTTTTGTTTTTTAACGAACTTGTCTTACAATAATTATTTCTCCGGAATATTTATAGTTTCTAGATAATAAAGGATTGCTAGTTATGGTTTGTTATTTGTATTGCTGCTTTGTAAAATTATATGCAGTGCAGTGATTATTTTTCTTTTTTGGGCCCAGGTTGCATAAGAATATGTAAATTATTTCACTCTTACAACAGTCAGGTTTGTTTATCTTTGGCAGCCGTGGTTCCGTACAAAAACTAAGATCCCCATCCCAATTGAACTCATAGCAGTCATCATTGGTACATTAGCTTCCTACTTCGGCCACCTTCATGAAAATTACGACATCAGAATTGTTGGTGAAATTCCCACTGGGTGAGTTAATAATGACGCAGTGGATAAGTGTCGTTCTTATTTTGTTTTATTCAATATAATTTAAATACAGTGTAATAACTCGCCCCTACAGGAACTGTCATAAGTGTTTGACTGTAGCTGGCCCCTATGGAAGGTCATATAAACTGAAAAGTCCTCTTTTTTTTTACAAATTGGCAGAAAAGAGCAGTACAGTAATAGAGTTAAGAGTTGAGCTTTGAGTTTACCTTACACCAATTTAGTATAATACTTTCTAGTTACATTGACACAAGTTGAGAATATGTGTTTATTGGTATTACTGTATTTTCCTCTTTTTTTTTCTTTCCAGGCTACCCATACCTACAGCACCGCCCTTTGAGCTCATCCCTGACGTGGCTGTTGACTCTATTGTAATCACCATTGTGGCTTACACGGTGTCCTTCTCCATGGCCAAGATTTTTGCCAAGCGACACAGTTATCAAGTCGACGCAACTCAAGAACTTTATGCACTGGTAGGGTCTTGTTTCTTACATGAATGTTAGGTAATACAACTTATTTCTCCAGATGAAAAAATACCCTAACGCTACCTGGAGCATTAGGGTGTTAATCATCAGGAGAAATAAACTGAGTAGAATGACTAATCTTCATATTTCTAGGTGTTGCATAGTAATTTAACACTACCTCTGACATGGAAAGATCAATAAAATGTAACCCACAGCTCTTATCAGTATCAATTCTCACTTACAATTTTAGAGATTGAGTGAGAGAGAGAGAGCTTTGTCACACACATTATCAACTACCGTAAACACCAGAAGACATAGAAAATTAATTCAAATCACTGTATTATCCACAGGGCATAAGTAATGTATTCGGATCGTTCTTCGGCTGCGCCCCTATAGCCGTCTCACTCTCCCGTTCACTCATCCAGGAGGCTGTGGGCGGAGTAACGCAGATCACGTCTTTAATATGCTGCTGCCTTCTTCTGATAGTCTTATTGTTTATTGGGCCTGTGTTTGAGACCCTCCCTAACGTGAGTACTGTGTGCTGTTTGTGTGTTGAGTGCTCTTAGTGATGGGTGAGTACTGAACTCTTAATGATGGATGAGTACTGTTAATGGTGGTTAAGTACTGTACTGTTGATGATGGGTGAGTACTGATAATGAAGGTTGAGTACTTTTAATGATGGTGGAGTACACTTAATGATGGTTGAATACTGTTAATGATGCTTGAGTACATTTAATGATGGTTGAGTACTCTTAATTGTTGGTTGAATTCAATTATTGATGGTTAAGTACTCATAATTAAGGTTGAGTATATTTAATGATGGTTGAGTACAATTAATGATGGTTGAGTACAATTAATGGTGGTTGAGTACAAATAATGATGGTTGAGTAATATTTATGATGCTTAAGTATTGGTTGAGTTGTTAATGATGTTTGAGTACAAATAATGATTGTTGAGTACTCTTATTAATGGTTGAGTACTTTTAATTATGGTTGAGTACTCTTAATGATGGTTGAGTTGTTAATGATGGTTGAGTACTATTAATGTTGGTTGAGTTCAGTTAATAATGGTCGACTACAGTTAATTATTGTTGAGTACTCTTAATTATGGTTGAGTACTCTTACTAATGGTTGAGTACTCTTAATGATGGTTGAGTACTATTAATGATGATTGAGTACTCTTACTAATGGTTGAGTACTCTTACTAATGGTTGAGTACTCTTAATGATGGTTGAGTACTATTAATGATGATTGAGTACTCTTACTAATGGTTGAGTACTCTTAATGATGGTTGAGTACTATTATTGAAGGTTGAGTACTCTTACTAATGGTTGAGTACTCTTAATGATGGTTGAGTACTATTAATGATGGTTGAGTACTCTTACTAATGGTTGAGTACTCTTAATGATGGTTGAGTACTATTAATGATGGTTGAATACTTTTACTAATGGTTGAGTACTCTTACTAATGGTTGAGTACTCTTACTAATGGTTGAGTACTCTTAATGATGGTTGAATACTTTTACTAATGGTTGAGTACTCTTACTAATGGTTGAGTACTCTTACTAATGGTTGAGTACTCTTAATGATGGTTGAGTACTATTAATGATGGTTGAATACTTTTACTAATGGTTGAGTACTCTTACTAATGGTTGAGTACTCTTAATGATGGTTGAGTACTATTAGTGATGATTGAGTACTCTTACTAATGGTTGAGTACTCTTAATGATGGTTGAGTACTATTATTGAAGGTTGAGTACTCTTACTAATGGTTGAGTACTCTTAATGATGGTTGAGTACTATTAATGATGGTTGAGTACTCTTACTAATGGTTGAGTACTCTTAATGATGGTTGAGTACTATTAATGATGGTTGAATACTTTTACTAATGGTTGAGTACTCTTACTAATGGTTGAGTACTCTTACTAATGGTTGAGTACTCTTAATGATGGTTGAGTACTATTAATGATGGTTGAATACTTTTACTAATGGTTGAGTACTCTTACTAATGGTTGAGTACTCTTAATGATGGTTGAGTACTATTAATGATGGTTGAGTACTCTTAATGATGCTTGAGTTCTATTGGTTGAGTTGTTAATGATGGTTGAGTACTCTTAATGATGCTTGAGTACTATTGGTGAGTTGTTTGCTAATGATGGTTGAGTACTATTAATGTTGGTTGAGTTCAATTAATGATGATTGAGTACAATTTATTATTGATTAGTACTCAATGGTTGGGTACTCTAAATGATGGTTGTGAACTTGTACTGATGTTTGAGTACAATTAATGATGGTTGAGTACTATTTGGCTGAGTATTGATAATAGTTAAGTACTCTTAATGATGGTTGAGTACTCTTAATAATGGTTAATATTTGTCACTATACAGAACACACTACAGGTTGACATTATTGCCTCTTACTTGAAGGATGAAGTTAATTATCGGAAGGTATTTAATTATCAGAGGTTATATAATTATCACAGGTTATTTAATTATTGAAAGTTTGTATTTCAGAAGATGTCATTACTTCAATTTCCTTTATAATACAGTATATTTATATGTATAGTGACCCACAATAGTCTTGATGTCTTTCCTCCTGAACAATGAATGACTCGTGAATTTGAAGCCTTAATAGACAGAATAATCTACTGCTTCGGGTTCATGAGTGAATCGTGGTGGTTTATGGAACAGTAGCTAGGAGAGGTGACAGGAATTCTATGGGTGACTACATTAATGTCATGGTTACAAACATTAATTTTCTTTTCTTTTCTTTTCTTTTTCACAGTGTGTTCTCTCCGCCATTATTGTAGTAGCATTAAAGGGGATGTTCTTGCAAGTTCATGACCTGAAACGAGTGTGGGTTGTGTCTCGTACTGAGGGAATGATATGGCTCTCGGCTTTCCTGGGCGTAGTAATCATCGACATTGACTATGGTCTGGTGATTGGCATTATAGTATCCCTAGTGGTACTCCTGAGCCGCACGCAACAACCCAAAACTGCACGCCTTGGTCACGTGCCAAACACCGACCTGTATTTGGACGTCAAGAAGTATTCTGCGGTAAGTTTCTTGAATTTTTGGGTTAATGTTATAACTGTGGCTTCATTAGATTGACTGTTTAATGTTTGTCTTGTTGTAAGAACCATAAACAGAAGAGAAATATAAAAATTAGGTACAGTAGAGTTTATTGATTTATGAGTGTGGTAGAGTTACACCAGCACATGTAGTAAACTAACACATGAGGTACAAGCAACTCATCAGTGGCCAAGAGGATAAAGTAAAGAGATGACCATATTTCCATAAGTCTTACCAACACTTACCCAGTACAGGTACCATGTTTTACCAGTCTTCACCAGTCAGAGGAGAAGTTGAAAGGTCTAACTGGAAAGCAATATTGTGAATGACATCTATTTGAGATGTACTGCCAATATAACTGTGGGCCAGTTGAAAAGTACCATATCGCTTATATTAATGATCATCAACTCTATGGGTTCCTGTAATGTTTCATCATTTACGGTAATCAATGGATTTTGTATAATTATACATGGTTAGTTAATTATAGTGAGTTTTTAAGTAAAAGAATAAAGATATATCTGCATAGTATACATGTTAAGCCTTTTATTTTGAATGTTGTTGGATTTGATTATTATTATTTTACGATTATTACTGTAGGTGATATTTGTTTCAGTGTCATGAAATAGTGGTAGACTTGGGTCTGGGGCAGTACAGAACATGTTGTGGGTGGCTTCCCTATTATTTACATTTAAATATATTAGTTCTGTTTATAGTATTGTGTTCAGGTAATACAAAGTTTGAGGTTAGGAATGTCTGAAAATGGCCAAATTATGAAGTATGGAGGTTTTGCTGTAAATTAAAATTAATATACTGTAGTATATAGTCGACTCACTGGACCTCGGACCCTCACTTATTCAAAGGGGACTCAACAACCCCGTGTCATGTGGGTGAGACGGTATTAACAGGATGGGGTTCTCATACAGGTTGTTCACATGTCCCGATCTCGTAAAGTGGGATATCGTACAGGGTATTTAATTCTGGTCATGGGGACCACATTAATGTTCTATTCAGTGTTTTTAACTCATTGAATCACAGATCAAAGCCAATTGGCAATACTGTACAGTATATCCAGGGTACAGCAATTCTATAATCAGCTGGAAATTTCATCCATTATTTTGTAACAACATTTTATCAGGAAATCTCGTCTGTTTAAGCTGAAGTTTCTATAAACTGTAATTAACTTGACTCTTGCTTCTTGTAAACAGGTAGTAGAAATACCAACAGTGAGCATCTTCCAGTTTGGTGGGCCTTTGCACTTTGCAAACACTGAATACTTCCAACTACAGTTGGTGTCTATGACAGGTCTAGATGCATCCAGTATTGCCACAACTAAATCACTAATCCAGAAACAATTGTCTGAAACAGATATTGCCAGCCAGTCAACTAAGGTAAGATTTGAACTGTACACACATACAGTATCTCTTGAACATAGGTCCTGTACAGTACATCAATTGAGATATTATATTATTTTTCAATCATAGCATTTATTGTCTCAGGGAGACATTAAAGTAAAAATATCATATAGTAATGGAAATATCTCCTGAAATTATTAATTAAATACAGTACAGGGGGTCCCTGACTTACAAACACCCGCCGATATGAACGAGGTTAAACTTGAAATTTACAGTACCGTATTTTATTTACCTGATGTATTATTTTTTATTTTCATTTGCTATACGGTACTTGTTGTGTAGAATTTATTGAGTTGTTTCCTGTTTTCTCAATATATCACCATAATAACACTTTATGCACCTCACAAGAAGCATTACAATACTGTACGTATTTGTAGTAAATTACTTTACGTTTTTTTCTAACATATTAATAACTAACCCTCTCAATCGATTAAACAATAGGAAGTCAATGGCAGTGCCTCCACTGACAACAACAATCAGGCCACCACTAAGGGGGCCGCCAGTAAGGGGATCACCTTCATCAAAAACAAGTTCAGCGGCACCAAGAAACCAAAGGAAGTGACCCTGGCTGTTCCTGTAAGTTTTACAATGTCACATTTATTGTACCATGGACCTGGCTTGTAGCTCACTACACTCGCCATTGAATCCCAACACATCAGAGTGCCCCCCTAAAAATATTTTTCTAGATCCGCCACTGCTTTACTAAGGCTTTTTTCTCCATACAGAACAAAATTTACACTTATATGATATGTATATAACTTGATTTGTTTTTCCTTTATATAACAAATACAGCATACAGAATTTTGATGATAATGTAAGTACAGCACTGTGTTAAATATTACATTGTACATTATCTTGCAGGAGGTTCAGTGGTTGGTGATTGAGATGAGTGGTGTCAGCTATGTGGACACAAGTGGTGGAAATCTTTTGGTTCAGCTGTATAAAGACTACAAGAAAGCAGGAATTGTAATATGTCTGGCAGCGACCTCAGGTTTGTCACGTTTATATACGTTAGTCTTGTGAATATTGTCCCTAAATGATTGAAGTTCTTTTGTTTGATGATTCAGACCATCCTGGGACATGTAGAATATGCTAACAGTTACTGACTATGTAATCTCAACAGATGTATCTCATTTTCAGAAAGTGTACTTGAATCCCTGGAAATCTGTGGGACTCTTAAAGTTATTCCCCGCGAACGCATTTTTCATTCAACCCACGATGCCATTATGGTGCTGACCCATCCTGAGCCGACCACTGTTGCTGATAATTCTTGCACTAAATTATAATGCCTGCATAAAGCTAATGATAATTACAGTATCAGTTGTGTGCGTATATTATAGAATCTGTAGAGTGAACTGTTAAAGAAATTATTTTCATGCCAGATCCTTTTTAATTGAGTCTTGTGAGGATTCTTGAATTTATTAAATTTGTATTTTCAGAGGTGACTTTGGTTTATCATCTTGCATACGTATAGTGTATAGTAATACCTGTACAGTGAGGTGCAGCAGTGTTAAGGTATACATGCTTTATAGTACACTTATGCTGCTTAGCCAATGAACAGAAAATTATATAATGTACTGTACTGTACTGTACTGTACAGTGCCATATAGGTAAGCAATAATTATGAAACACAAAGTAAGTTCAATTTCAAAACATAGAAAAATGTGTTAAAATAAGTGTACTTATTGTTGGGAGAGTGTTGAGGGCAGACAAAACCACTACACTTAATGTATGTACAGTAATTCAGTTTTCACCAGGAGGTACTGTAAGAGTATAAGATTATGTATGAAGCCACTTTATTGTCCTCCCCAAACAAATCTTTGTCTCCTGTAATTATAATCACAGTACAAATGATGGTAAATCACAGTTCTTTTGGTACAAAGTTAAATTTGTAATTATGATGAGTGATATAATGATGTGTTTCTTAACCCAGCAAGTTATTCTGATACTCTAGCAGCCATCTTTGATAGAGTTGGATTTGAAAACAAATATTTTTATATACCCTATACAGGTATATATACTGTACTGTACTGAACATCACTGAGTTGGGGGATAAGTATGGTTATAAAACTTAGATTTGCGGTCATTTATAAATACACTTTCTTAACAATCATTTCTGAAAAGAAAATTACATTTATTAAAATCGAAAAAAATTTGCTTTCACAAGACTGGACACCGTACATTTTAATAGTTATCTCCAGTCTGTATTTTAGAATGTGTTCTAATTTATATTATGAACTTTTTCTGTTACCTTTTCCCTTCGCCATCGATCCGCTCATAAGCCGCTTGGGCAGTCGATCACATCTCTGTTATGCACTGTTGACAAGTACTGGGCATGTACTGGCTCCTAAATGTATCTGTACCTGCGCCAGTGTTGGTCAGTCTGGTCTTGAAAGAGCTCACACTTGGTGCCATCTCAACACTGGCAGATTGTTCCAAAAGTTCACAACTCTCACAATGCAAAAAGTTTGCCTTCACAATTTTCTGGGCTTGTAGCTTCATCAGCCTTGTGCTGTGACCCCTGTCATGTGTTGTGATCAGACTATTATATTTTACACCTGACCATAGTTACTTTTTGTAGCTTAAAACAATATTCATACTACCAGTACAGTACAGTATATGTTTTGATAAAAAATTCCGATTTTACACTTGACCCTAGTAATGTAGGAATTAACAACTAGTAATCCAGTCTCTTTCTCTTCCGCAAGGTTAGGCAAGAATAGGAGAAAAGCTAAGCACAGCGCTGCAATAATGACTTACAGTATATTATGAAATGTACAAACAGGAGTTGGTTCAATAAAGTCAGGACTTTATTGGAGGGAGTCTTGTGGCTGCCATGGGTATCACAGAAACAGGTAAGAGAGGTGGTTACCTTGGTACTGTAGAAGAGTTGTGTCCCTGGATGAGAGTGTAGTTGAGGAGGGAGAGTGATTGAGAGTTGTCCTGGCCTGCCTTTATGCGGAAGTCACTTAGACTTGTAGGAATTGAACGGCCTTTCCATTGGTCAAACAGGACCTCTAGGAATACTGCGGTCACCTCATTGGCTCAAATGCTAGCAACTAGCAAAATGTACTGGACCTGGACTCTGTCTGACTTGCATGTACTTCACTTTTCAAACTTCAAATAGTATTTTTTCTGTGATTTTGTGTTGATGAATTAATAGATTCATTATCAAACTAAATTCTCACTATCTTAGTAAAGTTGCAATCATAAAGGACTATGAAAATTGTGATACTGTATTAGGTTAGTACTTAGTTATTTAGTTATTAGAAACAAGCAGTCATTTTTTTCAAATATTGTACAAGTAATTCCCAGGCAGGTTAAATTAAGTCTTCTATAGTTTTGTAGCTGCAACCTCAATGACTGAGTACATCAGAGGAAGAGGTTACATACTGTACTGTACCGTGAGTTACCACTGGTGACACAAGAGGTTAGATATTATGAGCTCTACTGGTGAAAAAACAATAACTGCTCTGATGAAGTTGAAACCTGGGTGTTGGATGTGTATTAGTGCGTTGCTCAAGCTCAGTCATCTTTTCATTCATCCATTCACAACCAAACTTCTTTTGTTTTGCTAGTTATCAAGTATGGTTGCCAATCATTTTTATTACAGCAACAGATTCCCTATTCTTCATAAATATTCTTGTGGAAGTGCTGTGAGGGCTTCTTACTGCATTTCTGCCGAGTGTGTTCAAAGAGGATAAAATAAAGTGAAAGTGTGCCAAAGGTTTACATTGTTTAAAAGTGACGAAAATAGTCTAGAGTATTTTAAATGCACCACCATCCTCTTGAATAATAATAACAGTACAGTGTGTGTATAGTTAGACCTTGATGAGTATATTTTGTATGCACTGTACTGTAGTTAGATGATAAGATGGGTATATTATACTCTCTTTAGCTTTTAATTATTTTTTTTTTTTTGCTGCTACTAAAATTTGCACATTGAATTCAGCCGTCCTGTGGTCGGTCACAGCTAATTATGATAGGAAATTATTTCAGTTGTAAATTATCATCTAAAAAATCCGCTTTATATTTACTTTAGTTATTCAGTTTCATATTTAATATGATTGAATACATTATCTATATGTATGGAAATAAATTAAAGCCCAGTTTATACTTGTGACCTAAGAGGTTACCTTTATGTGGTAGGAAATTTGGGGTCAGTTTTGAGGCCATGTACTGTGTATATTGGTACTGGGATACTTACATTTGAGTGAGGTGTTAGCACAAATGAAGGTGCATATACAGTACATAGAAGATAATGATGCTAGTCTCAAAATACAAAGAGGTAAATACTTATCAAGAGTGACGAATAACTGGTCAATAGCTGTGTCATTGCAGGCTGGTCAAAAAATTCCTTAGTGAGTCAGTCAGGATTGGTGTTCATAGAAGTGGCTGACATTGGTTAAAGGCATATAATACTGTGATAGTGTAAACCCCCATCAGTGATGAAATAATTGTATGTTTGTATGGTAATGATATTTCTGTACTGTAGTCTTGTTATTTTATAGTATTTACTGTAGTTATAGCTTGGAAGGGCTTTGTGTGCTTTTCTCTGTACTGTAGTTTAATACTCTTGAGTTAACGTTCCCGAAGTAAACTCTTGTTTGTTAACAGAAGGTGCATTATAATGCTATACTTTTGCTTTAATCATCTTCTTCGCTGATTGGCTCATTAGCCGCTTGGGCGATCAGTCACGTCTCTGTTGCACACCGTTGGCAGTATAACAGAGACGTGACCGGCTGACCAAGTGGCTAACGAGCCAATCGGTGAAGAAGATAAAAGTAAAAGCATAGCATAATAATGCACTTTCTGAATGGGTAAAATTTGACAGGACCATTCATGTACATTTATATGAATGCTGTTTTATTAGAAGTGTAAATAGAGGGAACTATAGCAGTAAATATTAATATTTTACTAATAATATTTTAACTGCTTCACCTCTTTATTTTGTTTAAAGGTATGTGAAGCTCCCTTAGTGTCACTATATCCTTAAGGACCATACTTATTGAGCTGTGTATCACAGCAAGATTATGGTACTGGCACACAGATTATACTGTGGCAATCTGCAACATGTTGTTCTCTAACTTATAAGCACAGGGTAATTTGGTAAATCTAGGAGTACATTACAGTATTTGTGACGTAAAAATATTTTACTATTGAAATCATGAATTTTCTTTATACCTTAATATACTGTATTGCCTACATTCTGGAGCCAATACATGTCAAGTACTTGCCAGCAGTGCAATGATAAAAAATGTGACCATCACCAAAGAGGCTAACAGGCCAATGAACCAGTGGTGAAAAGGATAAAGTAAAGGAAGTACTCCAGTAACATATTATGATAACCTGGTAAGAGGATCACAACATCAATATCCAGAAAAAGACAAAGGACATGATTACAGTACTGTACTGTAATTTATACTTGCCTTACAGTAGATACATTATAACTGAACCATCAATATTTTCATGGTTCTCCCATAGACACTGTTACTAAACTGAATGGATGAAAACCATACACTGAGCGATTACATGGTTAATGTAATCTTTTACTTGGCCAGTTGTTCACATGGTCACTAGACTGGTAAATGTTTTTAGCAGTATAAAACGCAAGAATGCACGTGATATAAAACACCTCTAATCACAATTATTCTGTTAATTACACTTTCCTGGAAACTGTTGATAAGGAAAAAGATTCAGGATTTGTAATTGATGACTGAAGGCAACACAGCAGTGAAAAAGGTAACCAAGATTTGGGAATTATAAAGTGTACAGTGCCTTCAAATACAAGGATAGGAAAATGCTCCTTTAGCTTTATGTCACATATGTCCCAGTCTGGATTACTGAATATTGTACAGGCATGGAACCCTACCTCCAGAAAAACTTGAATAGCATCCCTAAAAAGGTGCAATTACACTGAGCGACAAGATGATTCCTGAACTATGCCATCTTGGTTATCCCGGTAGACTGAGGGGGAAGTTTCATAGAGACATTCAAAATATAGAAAGGGATGGGAAAAATTAACCCAGGCCATTTTTAAGAGATGTTACGCACCACCAATACGAGGTGACATAACTTCATGCTCGCCGAGGTATCATGCAGGAATATATAAGGAAATATATCTTCACACTGAAGGTGGTAGTAGACCTATGGAACAGTCTACCAATCCAAGCTGTCGAATGAAGGGCAAGTGGAGAGATGCTACACAGTGACACACAGGCCACTTTCTTACCACTTTCTTGTTGGGTGAATCAGGTAAGTGAAATTTATTGAGATAAATTAGAGATTACTATTACCCCCATGTCTTAAGCGAGAGACGATTACTGGGATAATGATTTGAACAAGTTTAGTTGATTGTTGATTGATTCAGTTAAATCGTCATACAATTTTACATTTGGTTTGGCACGTGTATAGAGGATGTAAGTATACAGGTCGGCAAACACTTTTTCTTATTTTTTCATTTCACCATTTACTACCTGTTCCCGCCGGTTGGTCTGGTCTTAGTTATTTTATCATGAAACTTAATTATCCTGTGTTAGTAGAGGAACGAGTCTTTTGGGTTATTGCATACTTGTGATATTCTTTAACACTGGACCTCGTTTTAGTTTAGTTTAACAAATTAATTGACAAAGCTTGGAGTACAGTTTGCCTATTCTGAGTAATTCAGTCAGGTCTTGACAGCCGACGCCTTCGTCAGTTTAAGAGTTTAGATTTTATTTAATTTATTTCATTCATTGATCGTTGACAGTTTAATGTTATTACTTTTTGAGCAACTAAGGTCGTTTAGCTCTTAACGAGATTATTAATTGCAGTAGACCATCTCCCATAAGGAAGACGTCACATCAGCGGTCAGCCAATCAGGACCCGCCACCGTCGACACTCGGCTGCATTGGAAAACTATTAACAACTCACAAGGAGAATATCTATTACTAAGTTTTAAATAATTTCTTCCAATTTTGGTTTTATATCTATGTATAAACAATATAATAAATTAATAAATACTTTGAATTCAAATAAGTATACGGTTTAATTTCACTTTTACATAAACCAATAGGTGGAACATCGAGAACCTAACCCTGGTATATATGTCAACACAACCATCAGGGAGAGACTCGCCGGCCAGGATGTTGAGGTGTGTTTGGCTTCCTATTTCAAAACATCTGTTGATTTAATGAATTTAGGACTATATTCATCTAAGAACTTCATTATTTATGCCTGTGTAACGTCGTTTAAGGACTACCATATACAGTGGATGGTTTTGTAGCCTTTGACACCTCATTCAACATTCCATAATTTGATTGTTTGTTCATCTATTCATTTAGTGACATTCTTTTATTAATATGAGGGAATGTAGTGTTATAGTAGGCCTTAAAAACCCTAAAAGCAACAGAAAAATACGGGTATTTAGGATGTATCAATGAACGTCGTGCCGTGCCTACAGTATATCCTGCGTCTATAAAATAAATAGCTACTGTATAATCTCTGTAGATCTAACTATAATGTAGCTACAATCTGATAGGAAATACATGTAGCATTACAATTAATATTGGATTTATGACTGACTGGGTTTTGATATTTACATAGTGATGATTCTGCATTGACGAGCTCTGGTAAACTGTTCCAAATGTCAACACCTCTGAGTGAATGACTATTTCTTCCTTTTTAGTGTTGTTCTTTGCTTGTAGATTTTAAACTGGTGTCCATTAGTTCTATCATCTTCTGGAACAACTCATTTGACACCATTATATTGGCCCATTAATATTTTATGCCGTTCTATCATATCTCCTTGTATACATCTTTGTGGACTCGATATTTTTCTTCGAATATGGACACCAAACCTGATTAGTGTATTCCAAGTTCGGGTAGTTATTGACGACATAACCTTCGCTGATTTTTCATACAAAAATTAATTTAAAGATGCTGCAATTTCTGTTTTACAGTGTTAAATGGTGATATTTCTAAATTAACCCAAACCTAACCTTATTCAATAAACACAGCGGCCAAAGCATTCTTAAAAGACCGCACTGTATTTATATAGGACTAACCCGCAAGCGAAATTGCTTGAAAACAATTTTAAAATGCTGGATTTTCATTTTTATACTGTAATATAGTGTACACTTGTAGTTTGTGGAAATATGTTAAAAAAAAATTTTTTTTAAATAAATGCTACTTATCATTTGTGGGTATGAAGAACAGACCTAACCTTACCTAACTTCCCGGTATATTAAACAGAAAAAACTTACTATGATATGGTGAAATTTGAGGCTTTTTCTGGATGATACGGCCGCACCGGCGCTATGCAGCCCGGCGGGTTAGTCCTATATATTAACCGACCGCTCCAACCTAACCTAAGAAACCTACCTTGCTTAACCTTACCTAACTTCATAGCTGTGGGGGCTAGGGTAATTTGCTTCCTCTTCCTCACCTCTTCTAAGATGACTATCAATTCCTCATCAGAGAAATTAGGTTCACCTTCTCTTTGATTTTGGCACAATGACAATGTCAGCGGTGTCCTCCATCTTCGTGTTTTTGTTGACATTTTCTGCTGACGGACTAGTGTTGTGTTTGGCAGAGCAGCCACCACAGTAGTTGTTGGGATTCGTTGACGACCATGCGCTTGATCACAGACTGTGACGTCATTTACGGTGTCACATTTCATGGCCAAGATGTGACCACCATATGACCTCATAATTTTTTTGTGTATGCTGTCATAACAGACATCATAAACAGGTCGCAGCTCGCCAAGTCATAACTTACCACCACTTTTGAGCATCCCGTCCCGGATACCGTGCTAGTTATATCAATAATATTTTTAAACCAGAGTGCTGCTTGGGCACTTCAATTTTTTTTATATGATTTCTCCAAATTAGAAGTAAATTAGTCAATTACTGTACTGTATTACCCATTCAATTTCGGAGTAATAGTAGTCATCCTCTTTTTGTTAGCCATTGGCTTAATGACTGCCTTGATTTATTTATTTTCTTTTTTTTTACCTTTAAAAAGTATGTAGATGATAGTCTGTATAAGAGAATGTTGTGTTACAGGTTGGCTGTGTTTGTGGTGTGTTTGGCCTCTGCCCTGGGGTTCAACACGCTGGTCTTGGTGGACACACTAGCCACCCGGGAGACCCACTCCATCTTTCTTAAGTCCCTTCAAGGTCAGTTAAAACAATACATATAAGGGTAAAATGTTCATCTGGTAAAAAATGCTGAATTGGGTGAATTGTCACTGTTGGATATTTTGGGTTACTTAATAAGCAAGTCCATACTGTATAAAGCTCAAATGTATTGTAGGTTTAGAAGTGTCTGACAATACTCTACTGTTATTAAACAGAACGTGGCCATGAAGTGAGTGTAAAGGCAGCAGACGACCCATCCTTACAGCTGTCTCGGTATGGGGAGTATATCTACCAGAACCTGGTGATTTTGGCTCCTGGTGTGGAAGAATTTGGTGGTGCTCTTAGTGTTGAGGTCAGTACTGTACTGTATAAGTATTGGTTGGTGTTGTATAACCTACTGAAGACAATTTTTCACTTTAACTTAGTATTCCATTCATGATGTTTGACATAATATTTGGATAAAAAGGCTCTGAAGATTTCTTTGTAAATGACTGTTAGGATATTGCATTATTCAAATGACCTTCAAAAACTTGTAATTATACCATTTATTGTCCTCTAACCAGTGAAACTTGCCTAGGGCTTATGCAGTGAATAACTATATACTTTGGCTTTCATGCTGCTCCTCAGTCTCGTTCACATTTATTGACGAATCTGTATTCTTTTTTTCTCAAAGACGATTGTGGAGTTTGTTGACGGGGGTGGCAACGTGCTAGTGGCAGGCTCCCGTGATGCTGCAGACTTGATTCGTGAACTAGTGACTGAGGTTGGGGTCGAGATGGACGAGGAGGGGGCAGCCGTTATTGATCACCTTCACTATGATGCCAATGATGATGGCCAGGTAATGAGATGAATCATTTTTATATTCCATGTACAGTATTGATGAAATAATTTACAAGTATCTGTAGTACTGTATATTTGTCTAAATCAGTAGAATGGTGTAGAATTTCTTGAATCAGGAATTATATTTGTTCGTATTTTTCTGTTCTTTTAATGCTAAGGTTATTATTTTTTTAATATTTTCACAGCACACGCTCATCGCTGCTCCTAGCTCGGGGTTAATTGAGTCAGAGGTAATGGTAGGACCAAGGGATGCTGTTCCACTTTTGTATCGTGGAACTGGATTGATCACTGATGCTGACAACCCTCTGGTGCTGCCTGTGTTGAGGGCCCCTTCCACTGCCTACTGTTATAACCCAACACAGTCCATCTCTGATTATCCACATGCTACAGGTGTGTAACTTGAACGTTTATTCTCATTGTTTTTATGGCATGCATCACTCACTTTGTAGTTTCAAATAGAGATGTGCTGTAATATCTCCATTAGCCAGAATCCTTGTTCCCAGAAAGTTGCCAATAGCTGGGGAAAATGAGTATTCAGCTAAATATCTGTTCTGGGCATTAGTTAAAGTGTACATTGTACAGGCAGTTGGGGAACATAGCACTTGGGTACCTGCCTTCACTGTATTAAATATGTATACTGTAGTGTCTGCTTTGTTGTAAATTACCATACCTTTTTCTCAGGAGAGAATTTTTTTGTATAATAATATTGAAGTATGAAATTTGTTCCGATTTTACTTTACCAAGTTTGTGATTGATTACAACACTCAGGAGTTATATATCTTAAAGTATGAGAAACTGGATGATCAAGTTTGCATTAGGTGCTTGCTGTCACTTTAATCTTCTTGTGATTCTTAATGTATTATAAATGTCTTTTGATCCTTTTCTTTCAACATAAAAATGAAACGTTAACTCTAGTTGTTCCATGTTGCAGGTCAGAACATGCTGTTGGTAGCAGCACTGCAGGCCCGCAACAATGCCAGGGTTGTGGTATCCGGCTCCCTCGAGTTCTTCTCTGATGCATTTATCATGGCCTCTGTTCAGACACCACAGGTGAATACTGTAGTGAAGGAAGTAATAAAAATTTGTGTAATAAGACATGGTGTTGGTAATTTCAAATTAGTGTTACCACATTTATCACTTTTTTTTTTTTTTTTTTACATTATACTGTATAAAAAAAAGTGATAAATAATAATCTGGTATGTTTGTGAAGTACAGTGGAACAATAAGACAAGTCACTGTCAGAATCATGTGATGGTAAATTATAATATAATCATTGCAATGATAAAGGTAATATAAATAGCTCGAAAATTTTTGGGATTATATTGTCTCCTGAATGTATAAACCGATACAGTAAAATGAATGCTTTATATTATAATGGTACTGTACATATATTGCAGTGTCTAGGTAAAAATTTTAAGAAGCTGCTCAAGTGCCAGTGTAGATACTCCTAAAGGTGCTGTTGTTACTGTATACTTTTTCATAGATATCCTATTTTTGTGTATTGTCCATTAATTATTTTTATTTTATGCTGTAAACATGTTTCAGGGCGCTTTCTACGAACGCTCGGGAAATGGTAAAGTAGTGGAGGCCCTGAGTCAGTGGGTGTTCAAGGAGGAGGGTGTCCTTCGTGTTGTGTCGGTACAGCACCATCTACAGGGCGAGAAAGAGCCCCCAGTAGCCTACACCATCAAGCAGGATGTGGTATGTTTTACCAGTTTGTTTGGGATTGTAAACTTGAAAATTTACTTTTATTTTACTTGCCAACCATTCATCACCTGATGAGCTAATGGTAGTTATGGTTACTTCTTTTTCATCTCTTAATATCCGGTGGCTACATTTCACCTTTCAGCAGCAAGAGGGTTAAGATGATAGGAACTTGTGGATTGGATGAGTGAAAATTTTGATAAGCTGGAAGGAGTGAAGAAAAAGAGGATAGTGACACTTTATCCAAGAAGTAATAAAGTACAGTACAGGAAAAAGTTCTAATACAGTACAGTATAGTTGGATATAAATGTATCATCTAAAGACATGCTTTACCATCTGGAACAAGTGAATTGACCATTTTCTAACCATTGTCTTTTTTCTTCACAGGAATACAAGATCAAGGTTGAGCGGCTGGTGGATGGAGTGTGGAAACCTTTCATGTCTAATGATCTTCAGGTGGAATTTGTACGCATTGACCCATTCATCAGGTTGATTATGACGCCCAACAAGGATGGTGTTTTCTCTGTGACGTTCAAGGTACTGTACTGCTTATTAAGTACTTCTCTACTTAAAAAATTTTTTACCTGCTTGAAAAACTAAATATTAATCCCTAAATTATTCCTCAACTAATAAACGTCTTTTACCCAGGTGCCTGATGTGTATGGTGTGTATCAGTTCAAGGTGGAATACAATCGAGTGGGCTTTACTCGGCTCTTCAGTACAACTCAGGTGAGTTTAGTGGTCTGCTAGATGAAGGCTTACACTGTATAAGTGGAAATGACCTAAAGGTACATTTACTATACATGTATCTGTAAAAGAATCCGTGAAAGTGAGTTAGTTGAGAAAAAATTAGTTTACTGTAATATATACTTTGAGTAACAAAAATGAGTAGTATAGTCTTAGACATGCATACTATTAGTTTAAGTAGTGAGAAAGCTTACAGTATAAATGTATTGTGGTTATATGGGTAGTGACTGATAGGCAATAGTGTGCTTAGGAGTTGTGATGTACCATTTGAATGGTAACCTGTACAATACAGTGCAGGTATTTGTAGGAAGGCCTTTTGGCAGTTGTGAATATTTTATTACTTTTCTTTATCATTAATTTCACTCATTGCCATTCTTGAATTTTTCTCAAATATTTTTTTATAATTATTTTTATTTCTGCATCATAACTTTATCCATTTTACTTTACTTCCAGGTTTCTGTGCGACCATTCACCCATGTGGAGTACGAGCGGTTCATCGAGTGTGCATACCCTTACTATGCAAGTGCATTTTCCATGATGGTAGGAGTCTTCCTCTTCTCCATGGTGTTCCTCCACCACAAAGAGTCACCTCATAAGACTAAGGCAGAATAATGTTTTGTTAGTTACATTATACAAAACATGCTAATGAATTTTCTAGCTGATTACTTATTGTAGATTTTTGGGGGTAGGGTGACCCCCTTTTTCATACATTTCCATACAAATACTGTATGTATTTTCTGCATATAATATCTTGGGTTAGGTAAATGCATTCTTAAGTTTGTACAAATACTGTAATAGCTTTTTGGAAGAATATTTTATTTGTTTTCTACACCCTGGTTTTAAAAATATCATTCAGAAAATTCCTTGGCACTAGTGATGGTGATGAGTGAACTGTTAAATATGTATTGATTTACCATCTTAAGTGAAACTGGATTAACATTTGATGAATAAAATGTTTAGTAATTCTGTGCTTTTCAATATTATTTTTTTGTATACATACATATGTAAATAACTACATTAAACCAGTGTTAACAACTTGTACAGTAGATGGATTAAGGAATTTATGTAGGATAAGAGAATTGTTTCTACTAAAGGGAGATATATTGTATTTTGTATATTTTTTTATACTTGGGAATGTCATCAGGAGAAAGAAAATGTAATAGTACTGATTAATTTTTGCAACTACAGCAACCAAAAGCTGAAAATATTTGATAGGTTAGTACATGTATAGTACAGTACTGTACAGTATTACATTAGCATATTCATATGAAGTGTAGCATACTGTACCACATTTTAAATAACTTAGGCTTCAAGGTCAAATTGTATTTCATTTGTTAGAGTTGACAGACTACTGTTGATAAATATTTAGTCCTTGGAGCTGGAAGTACAGGTGTCGTGGTGCATGATACCTTCGACCATCGTAAAAAAATTCCTCATGTTTTTCTAAAGTAGATGTACCTAAAGAAACACACATTCCTTGGCTCCTAGATGAACCTTTTGAAGATAACTATAGTACGGGTTCCTAATCTTCATTATTAGCTTCTGCCTCAAGCAAGCACACGACCTAGCAAATCAATCAAATTTCTGAATCCCGTCTTTTGATCTGCTTGTTATTTTTTTTAATCCTGTTTCCTAAGTAGCAACTGTATGTGTTTTGAAGGTTGGAGAAAGGGAGAATTTGTACGTGTATTTTGCTATATTGGGTGTTTGCATCTTGATATTAGTGTACAATTACGAGATGAGAGTAACTGTCTTGCATAATTTGATGATTCTACAATACCAGCTTTGGATGAGTGGTTCCTCCCAAGTGAAGTAACCTAAGGATACTATATTTTTCCTGAATTCATTTTAACTCATTTGAGCGCTGGAGAACTACCATAAGAGAAGATTTGGAGGGAGATGCAGGTGAAGAGAAGAGGAAAAGAAAATCGAGAATAAGAAAACAGATCCTGGAGGAGTGAAGAAAAGGGGAGGTAATATAAGTTAAGGTTATTAAAGATTTTAGCTAGGCGGCACAGTCGGTGAATGGGTATATAAGTGTAGTGCTGATTATACTCCCTCCTTGGATACCATAAGCTACTTACAGTGCTGTACTACAGTATTTTGTGTGCTGTATCCACGTTGTTCCTGATGGGCAGTCTTGGCTTTGGGATGACTTCATTTGAACCAAAAGGTGATGTAAAGAGAAAAATAATGGGAAAAGGTGGGAGGGGGGGAATATGGTGGTCAGACTTCTGAAATAGGCAAAATTTAAAGGTTTCTGATAATTACAGTTGCATTGCGAGATACCTTGTAGGTTACAATGTGTTTTTATCTACCCTACAAGTCGCAATACTATGCAGTATATACGTAGATCCATTGTGTCCCAGAGTTTTTTTTTTTTTTACCCCATTTGTGTATTTTTTCTAACCCACAATCACAATACCCAAGGTTATTTGTGCCCACTGTCATAAGTATCATCAATGGCGTAAATCGTGTAATATCTGATATGGGTCCAGAATATTAAAAGGTTCAGTTGTTACCTAATAATTTGGAAGATTTTAAAAGATTGGCACATTAAATTATTTCAGAAAGATTGCAAATATAATGCACTTGTGTGGATCTGCTTTGGTTTCAGGTAGATTTTTGGTTCAATTAATGGAGTTGGTAGGTAATTTAGAGCTTGAAGAAATTTAACTACAGTATGTAGTTTGGGATGTTAGAGGAAAGTCATTGAATTTTTACTTGGGAAGGAAATATTGGTTATACGTATCATTTGAATGGAAGGTTAATTTATAATATAAAGTGAATTGTGTTGGTTTCCAATTTAGCAATCCGGTACAGGTATTTGTAGGAAGGCCTTTGGCAGTTGTGGTTTATTGTTGACAAATTATTTAGCACCGTAGTGCCCGACTGGTCACTGGTGGGTGTTGGCGGCAATCACGGCAGAAGCCTCCAGCAGTTTGTAAATGGAGGACATTGCTCGCCACTCCGGGCATTTTAACATCTATTTTTGGTAAGTTGGCACTTGTTTTTTCGTTTTCTCCTTCGGACAATATACATTAAAACGTGCATATGAAAAGCAATTCTGAGTAGCGAGTGATAATGTTCCCGTGATCTACACCATTACACATTTTCTGCTTACCAATGTCCTCATTCCTGTATATGTCGTATTTGGTGCTGTGCTGTACCGAATAGAATGAATGCATTGAACTTAACTGATGTGGAGCTTGTTAATTTTGTGAGGAAAGAATGCGTGATGCAATTTTCATTGTTATAAAATAATAATAATAATAATTAACGGTTTATTGAAAGAGCTTGGCAGCCAGACGGCTGAAAATACACAGTTACATATTTGGGGAATGGGTTTCGAATTACAAATAATATACAAGTAACATAAGTGACACAAATAAGACATATAATAACTAGATGGGGAAAAGCTCAAACTACAGTTCATTTCAACATAGTGACAGTGCAAGGAGCAGTGTTTACTGGGAGTGACTTTGTACATTGAGTGAAGGATTATACTCGTACTTCATGACACTGATGTTTCTTGTCTAAACCAAGATGTTGGCAAAAATATATGTGATATTCAGTAGCTTCATGAAACTTACAAGTGTATACAGTTCGATAGGAAATAAATCCAGAACCCAGACTCTTTTATACATGAAAACAAAACTGACGATACAGCGACTCATATAGTTATCAATGAAGCGACAATTTACAGTCACATTCGCTGCTGATGAAAATTCAGCATTATTGGTATGGCATCAGAAAAAAAACCCAAATGGAATTAACATCATTTTGTCTGACTCTTCCCTCAGTACTGTAACAATTATATCCGATCATGATGGTTACTAACGTCAAGATGATAATGTTTACCAATGTGAGTTATTACATGCAGAATTTTCTAAGGAAATTTGAATTTAAGGAATTTACCACACCCACGTAAAGTGATCCCGCAATTTCCAACACGATTTCTGGCGTTCGTCTCAATTTTTTTTACCCAGTTGGTTCTTCTGCCCAGCAAGTCCTCTATACCTTCGTCACATTGCTTTAAACATCGTCCCTGAAAATAGTTTGTATGCATGTTTGCTCTTAATCAGTTGGACAGCATTTTTTTCTTTTTCTTTTTTACCGTGTCTATTATTAGTGTAGTATTTCAGAAAAGCTTTATATTACAGTCAGTAATGGGAACGGACTGACATGACAGATCTCACTGGATCAAAGGAAACTGCTAATAGTCTTCTCTAGTTTATGGTTCCGTGCGTTCTTCAGAATTAAAGGCCCGACGGACCATTAAGGTCATGAAGTTCCAGGGGCCTTTAATATTGCCCAGCAGACGATGGTTGACGTCAAATGATTTCCTAAATGGCGTACGATACTCAGAATCAGGGAAGCCTCGTATAAACACAATAGTGATGAGAACAAAGGTGCAAGGCGTAATAACAAACATCGGGGAATATTATGTTACTGTATATCCTAATGACTTAGCGAGAAGTCCTTGTGAGCATGACAGCTTACTTTACAGTACTAAGAAATTCTGTAGTGAGGTGTGTGGTACGGGAATGTACTGTCCTACCCAGGGGGATATACTGTTCTGTACTGAACTGTCCTGCCCAGGGGAATATACTGTACTGTTCTATCCAGGTGGATATACTATACATGGTGCAGGATCAAGTTTGAGAGTGTGAAGTGAGCGGCTCTGCTGATTGGCTGAGGTGAAGGTTGTTACTGGCCAATCACCGCTCAGTCCGAGAGTGAGACCCAGTCTGTGAAACTCGCTGCTGATTGGCTGGTAAGCGCACGGCAAGTGATCAACCAGAAGTTGTAGGGGAGAGTATCCACTACAACACCACCGAGAGACTCAGTGGTGAGTATGAAAGAGATTGAAAGAATTATGACCTTTGTTCGCGAAGCGCGTGTGTGTAATGGAGCAGAAAGGATTATGGACACAAGTGTCTGGGTAGTAGTGAAGCGCTGCCTTTGAAACTGAATGACACAGTGGGTAAGAAATGTTTACTTAGATGACCAGACCATCTTCCTGAACATTTTAACGTGATTAGATTGAGGAACTGGTAGAAGACTAGTCAGACGTAAAGGTTAGTGTTTTTTATAACAAAAATAATCTGGAGTCTCGTTTTAATGTTTTAAATTTTATGTTTGTCATTGTGAGTGAAATTGTAACATTTCTTTACATAAATATGTGTTTTTCGTTTAAGAGAAGAAATATATATCAAAGTACAGTGCTGACGTGACATTCAGTTGAATGGCGTGTTAGTAATGCCTGGGACAGATGGTCGAGCTTGGAGACTCGCAGGCTTACCCCTGGCTTGTCACAACTTTAGCAATAGGACACGCATTTTTAAATTTGCATCTAGGCACCGTTCACTCTAGTGTGCATTTTACCATATTTATGTATCACTATTATGTAGAGTCGTAGATGAACACTTAATTTTTGGCTATGTTCGGTCAGCCTATAGGTTAGGTTAGGTTTGGTACTTTTCTTCAACTCTCCCTTGTTCTCCGCCAGGCAACTGTACCATCGATAGGCGTTCAGAAGTAAAATAACTGTCAGGTAGCGTCGACCTTCGTGCCAATAGTTCATTCGTCGCATGTGGACAAATTTCTGTATTTATTCTCTAACAGACAAACGAGATAGCAGAAGCAACTTGTGCACCTGTGATGAGGAGCAATATTGGAAAGTGATTGTGTGGGATATTGCTTTGTGGCCATGAATTTTTATGGCGTGACAGAGAGAGACGAAAGTTTGGTTCGGAAAGAGGTAAGATAGAAAGCTAGAACAAGGAAACGAGACAGAGAGAGAGGTAAAAGGCAGTAATATGAGACAGAGAGAGGAGGTAGCGAAAAGTCTGTTTGTATCAATATTTCCCATAGGCTATGCGTCTCTCCCCTCTCCTTGCATCTCTCACCGACTTTAAACTCCTACTGGCTGCGGTGTCTGCTTCAATGTCCACACTTCTG